GAGAGACGAGACGACGACGACGAGAGAGAGACGAGACGAGAGAGAGAGAGAGAGAGAGAGAGAGAGCCACAGAGGCGCGTCTGCTGCTGATCTCTGAGTGGGCCCCTCTCCACACGCCGCCTAGCCTCTTGTTGCGACTTTGCATCGATGCACCGCCTCCTCGACTTTCCACCTCACTTCACCTCTCGCGACGACGCCACACTGCCCTTCGACTTCACTCTGCGACATGGCCGAGCCCACACCTCTCACGACCCGACCGCTCCGTCCGACATTGTTGTAGAACGAGCCACTCACCTCTCTCGGCTCTCCCCTTTCGCCGGAGGATGGCAACACTCGCTCAGCTCGGACCGACTGCCTCGACCGAGCCAACTCCTGCTCCTTCAACGCATTGGCAATGAGCCAGTCCATGCCCTGCTCATCGGTCCAACATCTTCGCGAGGCCTACGCATGACTTTATAGAACACGTTGACCTCACGCCTTCGCGCCTTCGTCCACCGCCGACCATGTCTGAACGGTACAGCCAGGCGGGCCCCTCGCGCTCTGCTCCGGCACCGCAGGAGGGGCATCGCCCAGCGCCATCGGCGAGCCGCCCACAGGCTCCCATCTCTGCAGCGCCAGTCGACGCAGAAGAGCTCGAGCTGTCCGAAATGCCGCAGCCGCCGCGGCGTGCTCTCCTCCCCGCCGACACCGCCGAACCTCCACGCCGACCCAGCGAGCCCGGCGAGGCGTGGATGCAGGACGCTCTCCGCTCCCTCCCACCTGCGGCCGAACGCGATGCCATGCGGCACCAGAAGCGATCCTCGATTGCCTCGCTGGGACCCGGTAGCCGGCCGGCGCAAGAGAGGAGCCACGATGCCGACCCAAAGCAGCGCCTCGAACGCATACGATCCGCGGCCAGCTTCGTCTCCCGAGTCTCGGCAGATCGCTCCTCGCAGTCGTCCAAAGACAAGGATCACGGACCCGGCTGGATCTCTCGTTTCACTCGGGCTGCTGGCCGCTCAGGCGGACTCTCAGCTGCGCGAGGGGACAACGGCCTGTCGTCACCCGTGCTTCCCTCTGCGGGCGACCATCTGCTTTCCATCTCCAAGACCAAGGCCGCCCGAAAGCAGGCAAGGCGCGACGCGCGGAGGGCACGTCGGGCTTCCGAAAGGCAAGAGCAGCAGCAGCAACAGCAACGTCGGAACCACGACGATGGACGCGATGATGACGATGCCATCATCACGCTCGATGGTCTCGACGAGGATGAGCGGCCATCCGAGCAGCAGCAGCTCCGCCTCACTTCTAGCCGGTCGCGTCGAGCAGTCAAGATCGATGCCCAGGCCGTCGATCTGCCCATCGCACCGCCTCTGGACGTGCCAGAGGCCAACGCCCCAACTGCCACTGCGCTGGCAGAGGCTGCCAAGGCTGCGCGGAAGCCGAAGCGTAAGCTGCAATTCGCACCGGAGCAGAGGCGGGTCCGGAAAGTCGACCTGCCCGAAGGCTACGAAGCAGGCGAACTGTACCGCGGCCTCGACGAGTACGTCGAAGCCGCCAGAGAGCGTCGGCGGAAGCAGCAGAACGCTTCGTCGAGGAGATCGCGCCGGAGACGCGCAGGTCGCAGCAGTCGGGGCAGCCGCGGCGGGAGCCGCAGCTCAGCTGCGAGCAGCAGGACGTCTGATTCGAGTTCCAGCTCGTCGTCGTCGAGCTCCGACGACGGCAGCTCGAGCAGCTCCAGCTCCAGCTCGGGGTCGGGCCACGGCCTGACCATCGCCCGCCTGCGTGCCTTCTTCGGAGACTCGTCGTCGTCGTCCAGCTCATCCAGCTCAGACAGCGATAGCGATTCCGACAGCTCGAGCACCGATAGCTCCTCGACCTCTGACGGCCCCTCGAGTTCCGCCGATCGCAGCAACGCTCGCAGGCGGCGACCTAGGTCTCGCACGTTCTCCATGTCGCGCGGTTCGCGCTCGAAGCGGCAGGGCCGCAGCCGGTCCCGCGGTGCGGATTCAGAGGACAGTGACTCGGATGTGGACTCGCAGGGATCTAGCCGCGGCGGTCCCTTGACGCCGTATCTGGGACCACTGGCCGACCTGCAGCTCGTCAGGAAGAGCCGGACACGGAAGCAGCGCAAACGCGCACGCAATGCGGCCAAGCGGGCCAAGAAGCGCGAGGCGCAGCTCATCAAGGAGGGTCGCTTACCACCAAAGCCGAGCCGGAGCGCCCGAGCAAAGGCGGCTCGGGCCAGGGACATGGCCGGCGGCGTGACCGAGTACCAGCTCTTCACGCCGATGGCCTTGCCGATGGATGCTCTGTCAGCGCAGCTTGACACGCAAGAGCGGACACCCCGATCTAGAACGACGACCGCGGGTGTCGTCTACCGGAAGACGATGCGAACCACGTCGTGGGAGGCGGTCCGCCATCAGTTCCACGTGTTGCGCCACTACCTCAAGCAGGTCGATGGCCAGGGCGGCGACCTGGGCATGCCAGCGTCTGGCGGACGGGCCTCCGAAAAAAGCAACACCGCGACGACGTCGGGCAACGATCGCGCTGGGGCAGGCCGCGACGAGACGGGCAAGCCAGCTTCCTCGGCGGTAGAGCGCAGCCTGGCGCTAGAGCTTTCGCCCCTGCAGCTCGGAGAGACCGACTTCATCGGCGGCGACCTGTCGCTGCCACCGCCAGCCATGGATCTGCCAGAACCGAGCGAGACGCCATCGCCGCAGACGGGCCACATCGATGGGTCTGATCAGGAGACGCCGAAGCTCAAGCCTCACAACGTCTCTTCCCTGCTCGCCTCCAACTCCCGAAGGAGCAGCGATTTCGAGCCGCCCGGGGATCAAGAGATGGAGGGACGGACCGGTGTACGGATGTCAGACCTCCCGCTGAGCCCGCACATGTCGAACGACTTTGCCAAGGACTTTAACAAGGGCTTTGGCCGCTCGCCGCGGAGCTTCCCGCCCCTTCCGTCCAGGAGGGGCAACGCGCCTTTCGACGACGACGATGCCGAGGCTTCCGGCGGTCCGGGACGCCGTGCTGGCAAACGCAACGGCGGGACCAGACCTCGCACCGCGAGGCAGCAGAAGTACAAGGGCCTCTTTGCAGCGGCCGAGCACGACGGTCAGGACGGCGGCAGCGGCCCGGACAGGTCTGGCGCGCCGACGCACGATCAGGGCGCCGAGGGCGCATGGTGGCTCAACGTCCGCTGCCCGACGTACAAGGACATGCAGGAGATCAGCAAGCTCTTTCCTCTGCATCCGCTGACGGTGGAAGACGTCCTCCAGCAAGACCCACGCGAAAAGGTGGATGTGTTCGACAAGCTGGGCTACTACTTTGTCGTGATCCGGGCCATCGACGAGCGTTACTTCCGCTACACGGGGTCTTCTGGAAAGCATCCGGACGGTTCGCCCCGTCTAGACGGCGACAGGGGAACCAGCGGCAGTGCCCGGAAGCCCGCGCAGCCTGGAGCGGGCAAGAGGACCTCGAACGAAGGCAGCGAGGCGACTGCGGCGGGATCGGCGAGCCCCAAGGAGAAGCCGAGCCCGGAAGAAAGGGGCGAGACCGAGCGCTCCGGCCAGCCCAGCTTCGAGATGACAGGACTCGCCGAAAAACGCCAAGATACAACGTACCCTGACGAGCAACGCACAGCCGCAGACGGGCTCGCGCAGGGCGCCGGCGGTCGAGCCTGGCAAGGGGATGGGGGCGGCGTCACCACCGCCATGACCCGCAAGGCGCACGTCGAGATCGTCGAGGGCGTCGGTGGCAGAGAGGGTCTCGAAGGTGTCAGCGTCGGCGCCAACAACCTCTACCTGATCGTCTTCGCGCACGGCGTCATCTCGTTTTCGTTTGACGACGTATCCAAGCACACCGACCGGGTCATGCGGAGGCTGCTCGAGATCACGCAGCCCGTCGAGCTGACGGCCGACTGGATCGCCCACGGCCTCTACGACTCGGTGGTCGACGCCTTCTTCCCGCTGCTGTCGTTCGTGCAGGCCGAGATCGTCGAGATCGAGGCCATCACCACCGAGCCGACCGTCGCCAGCTGGGCCCAGAAGAAGGGCACCAGCCTGGCGCCCAAACGCCGGAGGCAGCGCGCGCTCATGGGCACGAATCCAGAGGGCCGTCTGATCAGCGTCGAGCCGGTCCTCGGCAACTCGAGCAGCGCCAGCATCAGCGGCAGCAGCAGCAGCAACGGCAAGAGCGCTGGCGGCATCGGGGGCTCGCCGGACATGGAAAAGGCGATGCCGCCGACGATGCCATCCGAGAGGCCACCCGACATGCTCGAGACCCGACGGCTCAAGACGTTGGTCGTGCTGCGCTTGTTCCCCTTCATCCGGCTGCCCGAGGCCCTGCTCGACCACCTGCCCTGGTTCCTCGTCAAGCGTCGTCAGCAGGTCACCATCGCTCGGCTGCCCACGTGGGAGTTCCAGGATGCGCTGGAGGAGGAGATGCGTAAGACGGCTGCCGAGATCGACGAGGCGGGCGGCACCGTGTTTGACACTCAGGCGGCGGCCGACCAGAGCAGCATGCTGCACCGCATCGCCGACACGCGCAAGATTGTCACGGGCCTGTCGCGGCTGCTGGGCCCCAAAAACGACGCCGTCAAGGGCCTGCGCAAGCGGCTGGCGGACCTGCAGCAGCTGCAGCGGATGGAGGAGCGCAGCAGCCGTCGAGGCCACCCTCACCCGGGCCGCGAGGTCGGGGCGGGCAGCCGCACGCTCATGGCCCGTACCGAGGTATCGATGTACATGTCCGACGTGCACGACCACATCCTCACGATGCTCAACCAGCTGGGCGCCGGCGAGGGCCGCCTGTCCGAGATCCACTTTTCCTACCTCTCGCGCATCGACAACGAGAACCGCAAGTTCCGCCAGGGCACCGACGGCGTCATCCTGGTGCTGGCCACGGTCACGGTGGCGGTGCTCTGCATGCAGTTCACCACGTCGCTCTTCTCGATCAACGTCAAGGTGCCCCACAACCGCCGCGACACGCCCGGCGGCCCGTACTGGTGGTACATGGGCATCGTGCTTTTCCTCTGCTGCATCCCGCCCTCGGTCTACTCGTATGTCCGCTTCCTCTACCGCCAGAGCAAGCGCAAGCTCGCAAACAAGAAGGCGGCCAGATAGCGCGGGGGCGCTGCCCCTCTCGGATAGACGTCGCCGGCCTCGCTCTCGTTTCTCCCTCGTGTACATCTGCTGCTCCGCTTCTCATCGCCGCGATCCGGATCATCATAGAAGTCTCCTTGCCATGCACAGACGGAAGCCCCGACACCTCTGCCTCTCGTTGCATACACTCCTCGGTGCACGAGAAGATGAGCGATGAGGACGATCTAGATTGCACTGCCGTCCTCTGACTGTCTTCCCAGGCGGTTCTCCGCGCCCGTGCGCCGTTCTCCGAGCCCTCGATGGGTAGATCGAGGCGCAGAAGGGCAGCAAAGGCACGTCGAGAGGGGAACCGCGCGTTTACCACGTGGCCTTGACACTGTGAGGCGAGATCGCGGAGGACGTGGCGAGCATCGGAGGCCGTGGTCAGTCCGGTCCGTCTCGGTGCAGGTTCCGTGCCTTGGGAGGGACGAAAGGAAGGCGGGCGACGACTCACAGCTGGAACTTGGCGGCGAGGAAGGGAAGGGCAAAGCCGAACGAGAGGACACCGCTGACGCCGAGGGCGACGCCGATCTTGTGCTTCTTGCCAGTGGGGAAGGGAACTGCGGCGGCAGGGATGGTGTATCATGGGAAAGGTGTGAGCAACGCTGGCGTCTACGGTTCGCGGGATGAGGAGCACATGAGTGTGTGGCTGGACCTCGTTGCCCTACTCACGAGCCTAGATTTCGGTGCAGAACCAGAGTCGTGCCAGGTTGGAGAAGGAGCAAGAGACTTTGTCAGTGTCTGCAATCTGCAGGGCGCAAAGCCGCGCATGGTCGTCGTCCAGACCGCCCTGAAAGCATTCCGGCGGGGGGGAGATGGACGACTCACGTTCTCGACGGTGTTCTCAATGTGAAGGTTGCGTCGAAGGACGGGCTGGGCCTGACGGACACCCTGGCGGGCCATGAGGACGGTCTGCTTGGCGAAGAGGGACATTGTGGGCTGCTGCTGTGTGCGGTGGTGCGGGTGTAGGTGCGGTGATGGTGGCAATGGTGACGGCGGAGATGGGACCGGGAACGGTATCGGCGGGTGCGGGTGCTGGTGCGGGTGCGGGTGCGGCTAGGCCTCGGTCGCCAACCCGCCCTCGCCCGCACCTTGGCTTCCTGACACAGCCGACCGCCCCCCCTTTTTCGGATCCGGTCGAAGCAGGAACCCCCCGCTTCCAGCTTCCAGCAGCCTCCAGCCTCTCTGTCTGGCCTCAAGGGCCCCCTGGCTGGCCCTGCGCGGCGCCCAGCGTGTGGAGAAATTTGGCGGCGGTTTTTCTCAACTTTTTTGGGCGGGTGCATGCGCCTGGCCTCCTCCTCACACCTCCCCCGGGGCTGGTCTGCTCGGTTCTTCTCGGACCAAGCTCTCGGTCGCACCCCACCCCATCACACCACTTCGCACCACTCCTCGCGCGCTCCTCTTTCCGATCTCCACCACCGCCACCGCCTTCGTCGCCGCCGCCTCTAGTCTCGTCTCGTCTCGCCTGCTCCGCACAGCACACCCGCACCCACTCGCGACATGGCCGGCGACCGCGAGCCCGACTCGGATGGCCGGGGCTCGGTCAAGCACATTGGCAACAAGCTCAAGAGGCAGGAGGTCTACCGCAAGTTCAAGGCCGAAAAGAAAAAGGAGAAGCTCAACAGGCGGCTCCAGTTCAAGAAGGAGGAAAAGGGCCCGGACGGCCACCTCAAGAAAAAGGCCCGCCTCGAGGCCAACAAGCCCAGGACCATCGAAAACACCCGCGACTACAACCCGACCATCATCAATGCGCCAAACACCCACGAGGGACCCGGGCCCTCGCAGCCGTCGACCAGCGCCAAGCCAGACGCGGGCGAAGACGGCGTGGAGGCAGACGAGCAGCCGCAGCAGGAGGCACTGCCGGAGGAGGACAACGACGAGGATCCGCACGCACCCCCCGCCATCCTCATCACCACCTCTATGCCCTCCAACTCGCTCACGCCTCACCTCGAGTCCCTAAACGCACGGGCGCAGCCGGCAGAGAGGACGCGCGACTTTGTCAAGGAGCTGCTCAACGTCTTCCCGGGCTCCGAATACCGGCCTAGGAACAAGGCCAAGGGCGTCGGGCTCGGCAAGATCTGCGGCTGGGCCAGGGACCGGCGCTACGACGCCGTCATGGTCGTCGGCGAGAACCGAAAGGAGCCCTTTGCCCTGACAATAGTGGCGCTGCCAAACGGCCCGACTGCCTTTTTCCGCCTCACGTCGATCGCCATGGGCAAGGAGATCTACGGCCACGCCAGGCCGACGCCGCACACGCCCGAGCTGATCCTCAACAACTTTACCACGGTGCTCGGTCACCGCGTCGGCGGCGTGCTGCAGGGCCTCTTCCCAAAGATCCCGCAGCTCGAGGGGCGGCAGGTCGTCACCTGCCACAACCAGCGAGACTATGTCTTCTTCCGGCGCCACCGCTACATGTTCAAGAGCGAGAACAAGACTGCGCTGCAGGAGATCGGACCGCGGTTCACGCTCAAGCTGCACAGCCTCAAAGACTCGCTGCCAAAGGGTGCCGGCGTCTGGGACGGCAAGTACAAGGGCGAGTTTGCCGAGATTGAGCCGGACGAGGACGACGACCAGGGAGAGGGCGGCGACGACGACGAGGCGGAGCTGGCCCCTGCCGGAGGCGACGCTGCCGACGAGGCAGATGCCATGGCCGAGATGGACGGCGAGGCGGGCGGCAGTGCCCCCAGCAAGGGCAAGGCGGCCAAGAAGGCCAAGGTCAACGAAGCGTCCAAGAAGCGGCAGCGCGAGCGGGGCGCCGAAGACGTCGTCACCACCGAATACCAGTGGAAGGTGAGTTTTGCTCCGCAGACACGGAAGGCCGGAGCGATGGGCGTTTCGTTGTCTGACCCGTGCTGTGCTGCTCTAACCTGCCTTGGCCTCCGCTCTGCAGCCCAAGATGAGCGTGTCCCGACGCAACTTCTACCTCTAGAAGGGAGCTTCCAACGTGTCTCTGCGCAACTTCAGTGTCCCTCGCCATTTCCATCTTGTAATACTACATCCTCTTCACAGCATTGCACTCGAAGTCACGCCAGCGTCGTTGCAGAAACCGCTTGTATGTGAGGCTGAGACGCGGTCGGCCGCGCTTTTGGCCAGGCCTGCATGTGGAGCAAAGCGGCCAAGCAAGGGCCAAGCAGGGGCCACGCCTGCCTGGGCTTGGTTTATTTCCCGTGTTGGTCTTCTCGCCTCGTCCCGCGCGCCTACCACCAACACCACCACCACCACCGCTGCTTTGTCACCCCCTCGTTGCTCACCGCGAGCGCCAGCCTGATTGGGCGCTCGACCCCGTTACCCTGCTGCGATTCACCAGATCGGCGGTAGCAACCTGGCCCAGAGAGTGAGGCGCCGGCGCCCGCCATGAACGCGCTTAACCCCTTCACCCAGCCCATCCCCGACTCGGTCTCGGCGACGATCAGCAACACCGACGCCACGCTCTGCCGCTTCAACCGGGGCAAGACGCTCTTCTCGGGCCAGTATCTCGCCGTGGGCCAGCTCGACGGGCAGATCACCGTCTGGGACGTCGAGACCCGCTCAGTGCTCCGCGTCCTCGAGGGTCACGTCAAGCCCATCACCTCGATCTCCTGGAGCTCCTGCAACCGCTACATCGCCAGCGCCTCTTCCGACTGGAACGTCATCATCTGGGACCTGGCGAAAAAGTGCTTCGCGCAAGATTCGAGCCCGTCTGGCGCCGGCCCGTCCGGCTTGCCAAACGACCTCGACGACGTCGCCTGGTTGGCGGCTCGTGCGCCCAGAGCCGATCGGAAGCGCACCCTCCGCTTCGATGCGCCCGTCGCCAGCGCCGAGTTCTCGCCCGAGGACAGCCGGAAGCTGCTCGTCGTGCTCGAGACTCAGGAGGCCTTCCTGGTCGATATGCGGGAGAAGATCAAGGTGCGACGCAAGAGAAGGGTACGCAAGGCCGAGCCGATGGACCTCGACACCGGCCCGCATCAGGTCAACGGCGCGAAAGACGGCGGGAATGCAGAGGGAGAAGGGGAGACGAAGGCTGAGGACATCACTTACGAAGATGTGCGCTGCTGGCCCACTCGGATACCGCTGCGGACGGGCACGCTGACGACAGACAGCGCTTCGACTGCAGCCAAGGCCAGCGGTCCCGGGATAACAGCGGCCCGATTCTCGCCCCAGGCGGACAAGGTGTTTGCTGGCACATCCAAGGGGGCCATGCTCATCTTTGACGCCGCGACCGCAGAGCTGCTGTCGGAGCACAAGGTCCTTGGCACCTCGTCGGGCGTCAAGGAGCTGGCATTCGATCGGTCCGGCAAGCACCTCGTCGTCAACACCAACGACCGAGCCGTGCGCATCCTCAACGTGGTCACGTCACTACGCTCGGTCGATGCCCGTGATGATGGCGACGCGGCTCTGGCTGCCAAGCGCCGGAAGGTCGATACGGAGCTAGTGGTGCTGCACAAGTACCAGGACCTCGTCAATCGCACGCCCTGGAACGGGATCGGCTTCAGCGGAGACTCGGACTACGTCGTTGGCGGGGCGGCGCACAAGGCGGCGCACAACGTCTACATCTGGGACCGGTCGGCGGGCACGCTGGTCAAGATCCTCGAAGGGCCCAAGGACTCGCTGATCGACGTCGACTGGCACCCGGAGCGACCGATGCTGGCGAGCGTCTCCAACACCGGGGCCATCTACATCTGGTTCACGGCCACCGAGGAGATCTGGTCGGCCTACGCGCCCGGCTTCGAAGAGCTCGAAGAGAACGTCGAGTACGCCGAGAGGGAGGACGAGTTTGACCTTGAGGACGAGGAAGAGGTGACGAGGCGGAAGCAGGACGAGGAAGAGGCGCTGGTCAACGTGATCAGCCTAGGTCCGGTCACTGGTCCGGCGACCGACCTGAACTCGGGCGGAACCTTGGACCTCGGCATGCTGCCACTGCATCCGGCCCTACTGGTGGCGGGCACCGACACCGGATGGCGGGAATCGGCCACCGCCGATGCCGACGCCGACGCCGGTGTGGATAGCGCCGATGGCGGAGGTTTGCACATGCATCCTTCTTCTTCATCAGTCCCGACTGCAGGCGCCAACGGCGCGACCATGTCCGAGGCGGCAGCAGCATCGACTGCGCCGACAGCGGAATCAGCAGCGGCGGCGGCGGCGACGGCAGGATCAGCAGCCATGGCAGGAGACGGCCATGGCCATGGCCGGCGCGACGAGAACGAGGGCAGTGGTGGTGGCGGCCACTCCGAGGCGGCAGCCGCGACTCTGCCGGAGCCGGACAATGGGCGGACGCTGAATGCAGGGTGGACTTGGGAGGAGCGGGAAGCCGTCTACTTTGTCCAGGACGACGACTGCGACTCGCGCTTTGTCATTCCGCCCAGCCTCGAGGGGCTGTGAAGCGTCGAAGCGCTTTGGTCGGTCGAGAAGAGTCGAAGAAATGAAGATTGTGGGCCTTGGGTCCATCAGTTGATACGTTCGCCGGTCTTGCCTTTACCATCTGACCGTCTCCCACCTCGGTGCGGCAACTATGTATATGTACCACCGGAGCGTAATCCGCGGATGGCCGAGCCGCGGTCGTGTATCGGGTACCTTACCGTACCATACCGTACGCCACGAGAGGATCCACGTACAGCCAGGCTACATGGAACACTGAATGGTGCGGCAGAGACGTGCGTGGCGCAGGTGTGTTCGGCTCGCTCGAGGCGAGCTGAGTTGAGGTTGGGTCGGTCGGGTAAGACGGCAGTGTAATGGGGTCGTGCTGCGCCGGCCGGGCAGCCGGCCATCTTGTTCGCGTGGTCGTCCTAGACGATCTTTTCTCTGTTGGCGAGAGGGTCAGGGCAGGCACGCAGGAGGGGTCAAGCTCGTCCAAGCTTAGGCCTCTTCTTCCATCGAAAGAGATGCTGGTGGATGAACGAGGGCGACGGGAGCGTGACACGGCAGGCGGTGTCCGGCGATGCACGCCCAGGCTGCTTGCTTTGCTTTGCTGCCTTCTTCGTCTGGCCCGTTCGGTCGACCCGCATGTCATGCCTGCCTTTGCCATGTGCCGGCCGGCCTCTGCTCTACCCTTCTCTTCTCTGGCCTGGCGTGGCCACAGCGGCCTGCCTGCATGCATGGACAAACGAGGCATCCTATGTAGCCTCTTTGCGTGGCCGGCCGGACGTTGTACGGCGCTTCGGCTTGGCCGTTCCGAGAATTGGAAGGGCGACGACCCCTCCCATGGACTTTGGGGGCCCACCTTGCCCTCCTCCGGACGATTCTGGATTTGAAACAGAAGGAAGAAGACGAGGTCAATCCAGATGACGCTCTCGTCCTGCCAGCTTCCGGACGTCTCCTCAGCAGTGAGGGAAAGAGGTTGTGCCGTGGTCGCGCTAAGCTGCGCTACGCTTAGCTCCGTCCACCGTCGTCGGTCATGTCACGGCCGGGGTTTGGTGGGTTGGCATCCGACGGGAGCCAAAAAAGAACGCAAGGCGGGCGGTGCGGTTGAGGTGGCTGGTGGCTGGTGGCTGCGAGCCGCAACGAAGATCAAGCATCAGACCAGCCCCCGACCCTAGATGCTCCTCCGTTGACTCCGCTCGTCTGTGTTCTCACTCTCTGTATCCCTCCCTCGGCGGCTCTTTGCTCGACACACACGCCGACGACTTGATGGCAAGCTGGACAGGGCAAGGCCTTCGACGGACAGGCGGCGGCCGTAACAGAGTTGGGCCAAGGACGTTGCCCGGCCTCCTCGGACATTAAAAAGCTTCCTCATTGTCACGGCAACGCCCCAGCAGACGATGTCCTGTACGAGGGGGTAATCTGCCTCCTCTGCTGAGCTCCGAGTTGCCCTGGAAAGCAGCATACCGCTCTCCGAGGGTAGAGATCAAGGAATAGGGAAAGGGGCTGTATCCTGTGCTCACGGTGATCGTGATCGCCGGGCCGTCCGGCTTCGTCCCATCCTCTTGGCCTCGTTGTGCTGTGCGTGGTGAATGGATGTAGATGTACATGTATGTACGACTGTGTTCCCGGTGGGTTGCCTTGCTACGGTCCCCGGATACCGTACCGGGCCATTCACGCCAAGCGGCTGAATGAGGGGGGACTGCGGATGGTCGACAACGCCGCCGTCGTCGAGGCAACGAGCGCAGGCTGATGGCAGGCAGCGCGCTGAGCCGCAGAGGCCAGCCTGTCAGATGAGGCCGGGCTGGGCTTGGCCTGGCTGGCCCGCTGGCTGGCTGGCCATTTTGCCTACAGTAGGCCCGCTGCTTTCTTTCTTTTTTTGGGCGCGTCGAGCCGAGCGAGCACGGGGGACGAGGCGAGGTTGCGGCTGCTCGTGCGCACGCCCGTCGCTGGGCTGGGCTGGGCCGCGCCGAGTTAGGCCGGCCTGGCGCTGGCCGCCCTTTGCCCGCCTCGACTACTCTACTCGCGCCCTCTGTCTACCTGGCCTGGCTGGCCCTTGCTTGCTCGTCAAGCGCAGCGGCGCCATCGTACCCTGGAACGCTAACCTTGGCCTCCCGATCCAGGCCCAACCAACGTACAGTAGCAAGCAAGCAGCTAGGAAGTACGTGTGCCCTTTTGGCTCCTCTCCATCAGCGCCACCACCTCATCGCCGTCACCAACAGCCCTACACGGCTGCCAGCCCTGCCCGCCCGTCGTCGCCCTACCTGGCCGCCTCAGCCCTCCGACCTTCCTTCGCGGCTGGGCAGCTCCAGCGTGCCCTCGGCCATCCCACGCCGTGCCGTCACCGCGCCGGCTCTGCCTTCCACCGAGGCAACCTTGCTCGCCACCCGCCCTCACCGTCCATTGTCGCTCGATCTTACTCGACTCGACCCTTCCGACGGAGGCTGACGACGCCCGCCTTGTACACTCAACCCTTCGCCACATCGCCCCACGATCGACCAGCTAGATTGCTAGGAGCCGCGCCGCGCCGCGCCGCTTCGAAGACCGGCGGCCATGTCCGCCGCGACGCCGCCGCGACCCAATGTCAGCACACGCATGCCAAAGGGTGCAAAGAGGCCCAAAGCCTCTCGAGCCTGCCTGGCATGCCGCAAGCTGAAGGCCAGGTGCGAACCCTCGCGCGAGATCCACATCGACCCCTCCACCGACGCCAACGCCACTGCTCCCCTCTACATCTGCCACCGGTGCAAGACGCTCTGCCTCGACTGCTCCTACGAGACCGCAGAGGGCCAGATCGTCGCAGCTCTGCCAATCCCGGAAGGTCCCTCGCCCTCGACGTCCTCCGGCTCCGACGCCAGAGCTGCGAACAACAAGCGGCAGAGAGCAACCGACCCACTGGCAGATGAGGGACCGTACTCGGGCAACCCGTCAGTACCTCTGCTGCTGAATGGCGCACCGATGCTCGCATTCTTTCCCTGCTCAGAATGCTGAACGCTGCTCTCCACTCTTCTGCCCTTTCCTCACCAACAGTCGGGCCATTATCCTGGCGCAAGGGATCACGCCGCGGCCGCTCGTCAAGCCTCTCTATCGGCGTGTGCACCTGACCGGTCTGCAGCGCTCTCCCCGCGAGTACCCGGAGCGCTTTCTCAACGTCTCTGGTACGCTGGCCAGGCTCGTGGGCCGACGCCCGGAGATGAAGCCCGAAGCCGTCGAGTACCTCCTCGACTGGTACGACGTGCAGGAGCCAATGTCGCCGGACCGCCGCGCTCATCTCGCCTCTGCACTCTGTGCGGGCAGGCTTGCGGCTCCGATCATGCAACGGCAGAGCGCCGTGCCTCCAGATCCGATCGACGACATCGAGTACCTCAAGGTGGCAATGCAGCCCTTCGAGACGCGGCTCTTTACACTGTGAGTCCGGTCATGCTCGGAGCCCGGACCCTGGGAGATGTCGGTCCAAAGCTGAGCGCTTTGTCTGCGTTACTCATCGACATCGCCCGCCATCCAGATATACCGGCATCTACTCCCACTACGCGCCGATGCTCTCGATTCCGATTTCGAGCACGGGCTCTCTGCGCTCTTGCCGGACGGCCTCGGAGGTGTTCAAGCTCCTGGCCGCCCTCCTCGTCGCGCTTCCTCACCTGGACGACTATCCCGAGCTCGCCAAGTGCCGCAAGCCGCTTCGCAGAGCGGTCGATGCTCTTCTGCGGCGATCGCTGCATTCGCCAAGCCGCGAGTCCGACACCATATTCGCCCTCCACTGCTGCGCGACCAACCTGCTGAATCCCGTCGACGGCTTCGTCGTGGACAGCCGGCCATTTGTCTCCGGCCGAGAAGATGACGACGGCCTATTGCAGTTTGCGCGGGACCTCAATCCCCGAGCTGCCCTGATCACCGCCATGAACATCGCCTACGAGCTGGGCTACCACCAAGACACTCAGGCGCTCAAGTACTTTCGCATCTCTCACGAAAAGGCACTCAGTCTCGGCCATGATGAGTCGCACGCGCGCCACATCTTCCAGCGCGCCATTGAGCGAGCCGTGCTGTGGATCGGTCTGCAGCAGGCCCGGACCGCTCTCGACCTCGCCGAGGACCGCTTGGAATGGAACAGCCTGCAGCATCTCGAGAAACAGATCCCGCGGATCGAGGCAAAGGAAGTCATCAAGGAGCTCGAGCCGATCCCGACGTTTCTGACGCCCAGGGAACGCGGACGGTGCCTCTGGATCCTCAAGCGTGCACAGCTCTACGAGATGACGATGGAGTTCCTGGAACTGCGGCCGGGCCCAGGCGTCCTGTTAGATCGCAAATACGCCGAGAAGCGTTCGGCGGCATGCAAGGACGCCTTCGACGAGTGGCGTTCCGACTTTCAGGAGGAGATGCGCGCACCGAGCGCGGCTTTCCGCAACAACGACCCAAGCGGCCTTGCCCTGCATCGCTTCTTTACGCGTTTCACGACAATGGAGAACCTTGCGCTGCATTCGCTCGTGGGCCACGGCTACTATCGCGAGATCATCAAGGACTTTCGCAAGCGATCCAACGAGGTCTACAGTCCCGACGGGCAGATCTGGAAGTCGGCCCCCTCGATCTGCTGTCGGCAAGACGACGAGCCGCTGTTTCCCGCATTCCTTCTCAACTACTCGTTCTCGCAAAACACGAGCAAGTTCCTGGGCATGTCGGCCGTCCTCTGCCCTTCGATCCCGCAGGTGTACGACTTCGTGTCCTGGGAGCCGACGACTTCGACAGAGATACCTGGCCCGTCGTTGCTTGCCCTGCCGACGCTCGAAGCGGGCCTGTTCGCCCTCCCGGTCCTGATGTCCGCCGAGGTCAGGCTGCCCATCATCGAGTCGTGGGCTCATGCGGCCTCCCACTTCAATCCTTTCCTGCTCTCGCTCGTGTCGTCGTACGTCAAGACGCTCAGGTCCATGCACGTGACGGTCGAGCTCCCTGGCGTCCTCAAGATGCGGTTCTCCGCCGCCAACGCCTTGGCCGACCTCCTCCAGGGGCCGCTGGAAATGCTGATGCGCGTCATGGCGGCCGGGGAGCTCAGCCTCGACGATCCGAACCTGGAGAGCGTGCTGGGGTCTTCGTTCAGCATCCTGGCCCAGTTCCAGCAGATGGGCATCAACGCAAAGCAGGTGCGCAAGGAGGCTCCGGACGCGCTCCTGGCGGTCCTGGATCCAAGCGGGCCTTCCAAGGGCAAGGGCAGGGGCAAAGGCAAGGAAGCCAAGGCCAGCCCCGCCAATGGCACCGTCCAGGAGGCGTCCGACTCGGAGGAGGACTCGCTGTACGACACAGTCAACGGTCTGACGACCCAGATCTTTGGCCGGGACAGCCTCAAGGGCGACGTGCGGTCTCGGTCGACGCAAAACTCGGTCAAAGACGAAGGGTCGCCGTACTCTGGCCGCGGCACCAGCCGCGCTGGCTCGGTAGAGAGCACGCTGGCCGCTCAACGCTCGCCGCCGACGGGGTCGAGGGGCAGGAACCTGGATGCTGCTCCTGGGCATCTGGCTGCGGCTGCGCATTACCCTTACCAATCGCTCTCGCCAGAGACATTGGGCCTGCCAGTGTCGATGCCGATGCCACCCCCCGCTCACCAAGCCGCCATCAGCGCAGCTGGATTGACCGGTGCGCTTCAGGATCATCTGCGCAACGCGCCACTTGCGACGCCTTCGGCGCTGGCCTCTGACGGCAGCGATCACCACGGCACTCTAGCGGATCCGGCAGCGACGTTTGACTTTCTCGGCGCGGGTTACAACCCATCGAGCAACCAGGAGGAGCTGCGCAGCGACCAGATGGAAGGTGCGCAGGCTCGAGCGGAGGCCTGGTTGTCCCAAGGAGCCCAACCGCAGGCGACGTCCCAGCAACACCCTCAGGCAGCCTGGCAGTCCGGCTACACGATGCAGCATGGCCACTCGATGAGCGGCAGCAGCGGTGTCGGCAGCGTCCCCTTTTCCGGCCCGGCACCATCGCAGATCGAGGGGCCCTCATCGTACATGCCGGACTCTGCGACCACGTCCCACATCCAGATCTATGGACTCCCGGACTTTTCCGGCCAGGGGCAGCAGGCCAACCATGGCGGCGGCTACCCATCCTTCAATGGCCACGGCGGCGACCAAGAGGCGACCGGCTACGTCGAAGGCGTCGTGTTTGACCCGACCTCAACCCCGCACCCGAGTGGCACGCCACAGCCCGCGCAGCAGCAGCAGCGCATGCAGCACCAGGGCGCAGCGTTCCAGCCGCTGTCGCACCAGCAACAGCACCAGCAACAGCAACCGCAGCAGCAGCAGCGCCTGATGCACCAGCAGCAGCCTGGTCATTTCCAGCCGTCTCAGGCCCCGCAGCTTTCGCCGCTGCCGCAGCAGCACGTCTCGCAGGATTATCTCCAGCATCAGCAACAGCAGCACCAGCAGCACCAGCAGCACCAGCAGCACCAGCAGCACCAGCAGCACCAGCAGCACCAGCAGCACCAGCAGCACCAGCAGCAACAGCAGCAGCAACAGCATTCGCGACATAGCTCCGTCAATCAATTCCAGCCAGATTCGCGGCAGCCGAACGCTGCGACCGGCCAGCAGCATCAGCATCCGCAACAGCATCAGCAGCACCCGCAGGTGCGCCAACAGCACGAAACGAGCCGAATGCACCAGCTGCAGCAACTACAGCAGCAGCTCCACCAACAGCAGCAGCAGCACCAGCAGCAGGGCTACGCCGCATCGCAGCCGTTCCTGCCCCACGTGCCCGCGCCCGCGTCGCTGCACCACTTCCAGAGCTCGCACCCGCACCCGAACCCGAACCCCAGCTCGGCTGCCGGATCCTCCAACAACGCGGCAGAGTTCGGAGCGTCTTCGGTGACGGCCGCGCCGGCGACTTCGTCGGCCTCGAACATGTGGGACGCCTACCGCGTCGAGGCGCCGCAGCAGCGCAGCACGCCGCCCACCTACACCTAGACACCCGACGCGCCTCCCAACAGCAGCAAATCTGCCTCCGCTCGACTTGAACGTCACCGCCGTCACCGCCGTCACCGCCGTCACCGCCGTCACCGCCGTCACCGCCGTCACCGCCGTCACCGCCGTCACCGCCGTCACCGCCGTCACCGCTGTCACCTTCACACTTCGACTGCCATTCCACGAAGCACGCCCGCAAGTCGCAACGGACCACCGATGGACGTCGCGCGCCGCTCCTTTCGCTTTGGCTCTCGCACTACACTTTCGCCCCTTCCGCGTTTCCAGCTGTCATCTCTATCCAGGCAGACCCACTGTGGCGTAGCGCAAACGGGGGTGTCCGATGCGCGCGCCTTTTGTATTTCTATCCTTCGAAACAAAGCCGACCTGTCACCGGCGTCACCGTGTCCTGACTTGCGTGCGATCGGCCCGTCCTTGCAGTCCTTTGGACCCGCCGCGCCCGCTCCTCGGCCCTCGCAGGGCTAGGACGATTCGATGGCAAAGAAGGCATCGACGACGGCGACAATGGCAGCTTGGATGCCGACTCGCTGCTGCTGTGCCGCCTCTTGGTCGTTGTCGTTGTTGGCGGCGAGTGAGGCGGCGGCATCTCGACGACGTTGCGGCGAGGTGAGGTACGAGAGGAGGTGCTGGAACCGCTGCGCGAACGAGTCGAGGAGCGTCTGGGTCTGCGTCGATGTTGAAGATGAGAGAGGGGCAGGTAGAGAGGGGACGAGCAAGATGGACGGGTAGGCGTGTCCGTGCCGCGTAAACGTGATTGCGAACGTGAGCTCCAAGCTGGCTTTGCTGTTGCGGCCAGACGGGGCGACGTGTCGAGAGGACGTCCACGTATTCGGATGGGGGCAAAAGGGATACGTTCAGTCTCGTGGCACAGCCACGGCTTCATCGACAAGGCTCCAGAGCGGGGGAGGGGGAGGGGGAAGGGAGCACGTACCGGGCATTGGTAAAGACCAGCTGCTCCGCCCGTCCCGGATCCACCAGGCGGGCGAGGACGTCTGCATCCTGGACCCTGATCTTGTCCTTGTTCTTGCCGCTGCCGTCGCCGCCATCGACTGGTGGAGGCGGGGACCATAGCTTGCCGTTGCGGGCAGAGGAGGGAACGAGGTGCGGGTACCTCTGTGCGAGGTTGGAGTAGAGCGCCTGGCGCAGCCGCGCGAGGGGCAGCAGCGTGCGCAGCGACAGCATCAGGGCGGGCAGGTTGGCCTGGCGCAGCGTCCGGGCGAGGTGGTTGTTGGCCGACAGCGCGTGGCGCAGCGCAGGCGGCATGTCGAGCGACAGGTTGCGCATCTGCGGCGATCGCGATGCCAACGACGCCAGCGTGCCGTCCACCGACGACGACGACGACGGAGAGGCGGGCTCGTGCACGTCGTACCGCAGCGTGAGGTCGCATAGGTCAGAGAGCGTGCCCGTCAGGTGGACGGAGCGGATCGTCGTATCCGTCTCGGCTTCGGCGCGGGAAGGCGGCTTGGTCCGTTGCGTGAGCGTGCTGATATCGAGGTAGGTGAAGTCCGCCAGGTGCGACAACTGCAGTCCCGCAGAGGCGATGGTCGGAAGGAACGGAAGGAGCGACACGATGTCAGTGTGGACGCCGCAGCGCGGGCGATGCCGGCCGGACAGCCAGGACGACGCCGGCTACTCACGAGGCGCTGGTTCAACACCTTCCGCCCTTCTAGCCAGTCATTCATCCAGAGGGCCTGCTTGGCGCGTTGCCGCGCTTCTACGACCGTATCGGAGCCGGGCACATCCCGCTCGTCCTCGTCGTCCTGATCCGGCCCGCCTCGGACGACCTGGATGCCGAGCGGTGGCCGCTTCCTCTTTCTGGTTGCCGCATCGCCGCCTTCCACCTTGGCCAGCCTCCTGTCAATCTCGCCGCCGCTGCCGAGCCCTTCTATCCCGACGCTCTTGGACGGCACGAGCAAGGTTGGGATGGCGAGAACGCTAGCGGTCGTCTCACCGCCAGAAATGAGCCTGACGAGCGCCGAGGTCGAGAGCGTCAAGAGGGCAGTGAGGCTCTCGTCGTCCAGGCGGCTCAGCCTGGTTTCGAGCGTCTTCTTGACCTCGACCTCGTCGCGCACCGCGTCGTCGCCGGCATCCGTACCCGTCCAGGCGGCGACAAGCTCTTGCAGCGAGCCGGAAGAGGCGGCGCGGCGCTTCTGTCGGCTCCGCTCGCTGGCTTTCCGCCGCGCATCGCGTTCCTTTGCCAGCTGGGCGCGAAGGTCCCGCACCTGCCGGTCGAGGTCGTCGACGGTCCGCTTCAGTCGGTCGACGGCCTCGACGGGTTGCCGAGATGTAGAGGCCTGAGAAGCCTGAGACATTGTCGCCTTCGGATCGTCGAATCGATCGCGCGCGAGACTCGTCCTGGATAGGCGCGAGGTTTGGGCGCGATCCTGTGTCGAGTCGGAAAGGAGTCGGGTCGGGTTCGGATGGCGCCAGAGTGGTCGATGAGAGGAGGAGACGCCGACCAGCAGCCGTCGACCAGCAGGTGAAGGTGAGAAGAGGTTGAGGGTAGGCGGTCTAAGGGCGAAGAGGGGTTGTCCTGGCGGATGGTGTTGACGACGATGATGGTGGTGGAGCAAGGGTTGCGAGGTCTTCCATCGGGGTCGGGTCCCGGGTCACACATCCGCAGGTGCGCAGGCCTGGCGGGCCCAGCGCGTCGCGTCGAGCCAGAACCCTGCAGCCGCTCTCAGCCAGGCTGTCCTGCCTGGCGAGAAATGCGCAATCTGACTCTGCAGAGCCGCTCAGCGGGCACGGCCACCACCTGGCTACATACAGCCATGCCGCCCGGCGACATCCTCAGCCGACGAGAGCGTCAAAGCGATCTTGATTGGGGTGGCAGACACGGGAAGGGCGTACGAGTACAGAATAGTAAAACAGCAGAGAAGATCGAAGAGAAAGGCGACGGGGGCGATGGGATGACCGCAGAGAGGGATGGGTATGCTATGATGCGGCCGCGGGGGGAAAGATGGGGGGGATGGGGTTGCATGGGGGATGTCTTTCTGAGAAAGGGGAGAGCGGTTCCGTGACCTCAATGTCGAGGATCATCAGCCGCCGTGCTCGCCGACGGTTTCCGTAGCTGTGCGATATGCTTTGGGGACATGGAATAAAGGGGACTGACGGCCTCGTGTGGGAGGCGTCGCGGATCCGGACCCGGACCCGGATGACCTCAGGCCGGCATGGGGAAGAGGCCGTTGTTGACCTCGAGCAGGATCCTGACTTCCTGAACGTAGTTCTTGGCCACCTCCCAGGCCCTCGAGAACTTCTGCAGCGCGTGTTCGATCTCGGTGATGGCGTGCCGCAGCCGGACGGCCAGCTGCAGCGCCTCGGTGCCTCGGAGCTGGGGCAGTTGGCGCACCCGGTCCGGGTCCGCGTTGAGCAGGAAGGGAACCTCGAGCGACTTGGACGTCTGCAGCAGCATCGCGTCCAGTGGTGCGCTGCCGCCCGCAGAGAGCTGGGCATGGAGCGTCTCCATCAGGAAGACGTAGGCGGCCAGCACCAGCGAGCACGCCGAAAAGGGCGGCAGCGATGGCGCAGACCACTCGTCGCGACTGATGGGCGCGGGAAGACCTAGGTTGAGGCCCTCGACCGGGAGCAGACCCATGCTCTCCCTCCGCCCGTGCTGAAACGTGGAGCCGCAAATGTTGGGCAGCTCCGTATACATGACGCTGGCGGCAAAGCGGCACCGCTCGAGCGAGACCATTGGCTCAAAGGGCCCGCCGGCGAAAGAGACGGGGATGCCCTGCCTTGTCAGCGCGATCTTCTTGACGCGCAGGACGGCCCCAGAGCCCGACGTGCTGTTGCCGCCGCCGCTGTCGCTGCTTGAGCTGCTCCGGCTGCTGTTGCTCAGGCTCCTGCCGGGCCGCGTCCGTACCCGCTTGGCGGCTCGGTCACTCATCTGTTCGCTGCTCGGGCGCTGCTCGTGCTTCCTGGCCGATGTGTTGTCGTCCGATGCGTGGGCCTGCCGTGGCGTCGCTCCGCTGCTGACGACAGCGGCGCTCTCGTCTGGCTGCCGACTGCCGCACATCGAGTCGGTACTGGCACTGCCCTCGCTCGAATCGTCAAACGTGCCCGGGAGTCCGCAGGTCGGCGCAACGAAGATCTTGGCGTTGGCGAAGGCCTGGGTCCGATGCAAGATGATGAGCGCCCCGCTGGTCATGAGCTTGCCGGCGATGCGGAGGCTCCGCTTTAGCCGGGTGTCGTTCTCGTCATCAAAGAGAGCGGTGCGCCTGGAAGCAATCACCGTCACCTCGAAGCAGGTCCGATCTGACCATGCCGGATCGCGTCGGACGTAGTTCATCACGTCGTTGTCGAGGCCTTGCATCCTGCTGAAAATCTCCTCCCACTTCTGCTGGTGCTGCCGGGGCTGCGGTTGGCCCGCGATCAGCTCGTGGGCGGGATCCTTCTTGAAGGCTTCGAGGTCGAAGAGGGTGGCATAGGCGCGCGAAACGAACTGGGCGCCCTTGACGAGGACCTTCCAGCTGGCAAGCTCCTGATCGGCGCCCGGCAGGAGGGACAGATCCTCTGCAGCGTCTCGCTTGACCGCAAGCGGGTTCTGAGTAGTGGAGAGAGTGTCGGGCGGAGCAAGAGAGGGCAAGTCAGTTGTACAGCCCGGGCCGGCGCACAAGAACCCATGGCACAAAGCGCCTCCTTTTACTCACGAAGCCGCCGGTGCACGACATGACGGTCGCTGCAGTGTAGCTGGCCCAGAATGCGCGCTTCGCCCACTCGCTCTTCTGCGTTGAGCTGAACCAGGATGGCGCGGCGGGAGCGGCCCCGCGCGCATCCAGGTCCAACGACTGGCAATGGGTCCAGGCCTGGGTGGCGTGGTGGAAGGCGCGCTTCTGTTCGGTGATGCCGTAGTAGTAGTGGGCCAGCAGAACGTGGGTGGCAATGAGCTTGATACGCACCAGCTCGAGATCCGGCGCAAAGGTCGACGAGAGGCTCGCCTGGTGCAGTCCGCCTAGGGCGCCCTTCTTGCCCTCTGGCAGAGCATCGCTGCCACGCGCAAGCTGGACGACCTTTTTGAGCAACAGACGCTCGGCCGACTTGGCGTGGAACAAGGCAATCTCTTCGCGCGGAGCGCCCTCGAGCGCGCCGAGTCCGGCATTGGCCTCCTTGTCGTCGGGATGCGTGAGGTGCATGCTGCCGCGGACGATGCGGTGGACCTCGGACTGCGGCAGCTGGAGGGCAACGCACGAAGAGATCGCAGCCAGCAGAGCTGACGAGTCGTCGTCGGATAGGTGGAACGCCAAGGACGAGAGGTGGCCCGAAGGCAGCATCACCGGACAGCCCGGATAGACCAGTTCGTAGTAGTCGGACAGCAGGGCGCGCGTCTGCTGCTCCGAATTGACGGCGGCGGCCTTCTTGGACGCTTCTGTCACGTCGACGTTGGCGGACTGGACATCAAAGTCGTCGATGATGGGCTCGTCGTTGTTGCCGCTGGCGCCGAGCACGCCTGCCTTGGGCAGGCTCTCGAGCTTCTTGTAGAAGTTGGCGAAGACGTCTGCCGCCGACGCCTGCTCGCCCTGCAGGTTCTGCCACATCTCCAAGTTGGCAACCGAGAGGTCGTCGAACAGCCCGCCGCAACCGCCGTGCGGCTCGCGGAAGTAGTTGCTCTGGAAGAGCGCCTCCTTTTCGTTGCCGAACGCGAAAACGTTGGGCGACGGCACCGCGCCCGCCGAGGCATCGCGGCTGGAAGCCGGCGTCAGGGGCGTCTGAGGAGAGATCGGCCCCACAGTCTCGCTCGAGACGCGGCTGTACAGACTCGGCAAGTCCGAGCCTGGGCTGACCCCGCCATCCGGGGTGATGTGCGGTCGGGTGGAGACCGAGGTGAGAGAGGTGCTCGCAGGCGCCGAATCGCGACTGCGACTAGAGCCGTGATGCGACGCAGCGAATCCGGAGGCGTCGGCACTGGAGGCCGCTTCTGGGCTGAATGAAGCCGTCTGACGGCCCCGCTCCCTCATGGCCCGCTCCTCTTCCTCCATCCTGAGGCGCTCCCGTTCGTTGAGCACCTTCTTGGTCGCCTCACGACCTCGGATCCCCTTGAACCTGGGACCGCCGCGTTTGCTGGCCACGTATACGCAGGCGCCGTCGGGGTGAGCCGCATCGCCCTGGACGCCACGCTGGGCGCAGGGCCCGCACACGGGCTTGACGCCGTCGCACTTGCGCTTGGCCGAGCGGCAGGAGAGGCAGGCCGCGCGCGACACCTGACGGGTGCCGTGCGCCTCGATCTCGGCGAAGAGAGCGCCGTGCCCGGCACCGCTCTGGACATGCGTCTGCAGTGCGTGTACGTTGGAGAGCGGGTGATGCGGGGTCTGGTGAGGCAGAGTAGCCTTGGCGTGGTCGAGGCTGGCGTACGGGTGATGCTGCTGGCGGCGGAGGGAGGAGGGGTGTTGCTGAGGTGGACGCTGAACGAAATGACCCTGCTGCGACGACGACGGCTCGGCCCAGTGCTGGAGGGGCGCAAAGGTTTGATCGTCGTGGAAGGCTCGGGGAACGCCACGTGGCTCGGTACTCTCGGCGAAGGGATGGAAGAAGTTCCTTGGCGGGTAGTCTCGACTGGATTCGGGCAGCGGTGGTCCGCCAGAACCGGCGGCGGCGGCGGCGGCGGCGACGGTGTACGATGGATCGAAAGAGCGGCCGGTGTTGGGCTGGTATGTGGCGTCGTGGGTGCTCTGATGGTGGCCCGACATGGTGTGCGCGTACTTGGCAGCAGCCAAAGCGGGCCGCTGTGGGTGAGCGGTAGCTGTCAAGGTCAGATGGGGACCAGGGCAGACGATGAGGGACGGCGCAGACTGCAAGTGATTGCTGCCGAGAGGACGAAGAGCAAGCTAGGTCGAGCAGGGTGAGGAGCGGATGATGTGGTGCGGGAGGTGGGCAGTAGTGTGTCGCGGTGGTTGCTCAAGCGACAGCCGGGTCTGTGGGTGCGACTGAGTGGCAAGTGAACCAAGTGGCGCAGGCGATAGGGTGTCGAGCATGCGCGGAGAGGTGGCGTGATGCTGACGAAGAGCACGCGAGGTTGGCCAGGAAGCGGTGGCGGCGGCGGCAGTGGTGGTGAGAGGATGGTGTCAGGAGGCAGTTGGGCGTCGGGAAGCAGCCGGGGATGGAGATGGTGATGATGGGCGGGCGGGCGAGCGTGCGAGCTATTCCTAGACGGTATGCTCCCAAGCTAAAGGTCGATGTCGAAGGAGCCGATATCAGAGAGAGGGAGAGAAAGTGTGTGTGTGTGAGAGAGAGAGTGTGAGAGAGAGAGAGAGAGAGAGAGAGAGAGGAGGGAGGAGAGAGAGAGGAGGAGGAGG